CACGAAGAGGACTTTACTATTCTAAATCACCTAATACTGACAGCTAAATTTTATATATACAAGTGTAAATTGAATTCTAAAAATCCTTCTATAGGAGTTTATAAGACCAAGATCGGGGAGATATACCAGGTAGAAATGAAGATAGCAACAAAGCGGAATAAATTAGCTAAACATTTTCAGAAATGGAATAAGCTTTTGCCACATATCGTTTTGTGGGATGGGTATCCAAACAATTTAGAGTAGCATACGAAGTCAATTTTATTGTAAAACACACAATTTCGCTATATACTATTATTAAGGTACTGTAAGTAATTTATGTAACATATTGAAAGGAGTGTAATATGTCGTTACGTAATGTAAATGTAGAGTATCGTGTAGATAGTGGAAGTAATTGATAGTAAGTCATCTGCTGTAATCAAATTTATTGTAAACTATACTTTGTTTGTGGTGTGTTCTCAGTAAACTATTGTAAGCAACGTACTGTAACTGAGTCCTGTAGTGTATTGTAAGTAGAGTAATGTTTTGTAAAATGCCAAAAAAATAAAAAAATTACAAAAAAAAAGCCCCATGCATTGTAGTGACTCCCCAGATTCCCCAGACTCGGCCCTCCACAAAGAGCCAAACTGAGGTTTTAGGTTTTTCTGTATTAATTAAATAGAAAGTAGAGAGGCTTTCAAAGAGACATTTATCTGCCTACCTTAGTTTCAATTCTAATTTATGATCTGAGCTGTGTCTAATGTCTCTTGTTATTGTAAATATACAATCTTCTCAAAATTAAAATTTTAGAATCGATATTATTTCTTTGAATAATATATTGTATATTTAGCCAGGCTGATATGCGTAAAGTGCAAAAATAAATTATATAGACGATATGGGGGCATGTGAGGAAAGGTATGTGTGTTGCTAATATACTTCTAAATTTACATATGCTCTAAATATATTTAGATCCTCTGCCCTCAAAAACAAGCTCATGCGAAGCTGAGTAGCTGAAATACCATAGAAAAAAGGTGTCGAATGCATAGCCAATAATTCACAAAAATCAAGGTGAAAAGTATGCCATTTCATTTCCCATCAGTGCAATGATGTTTTGCTCGTAAACAAGACACAGGCCCACAGCGATGAAGCCTGACAAATACATGCCAAAACAGACAGACAACATGGAATATATCTTTTCAGAGAACTTTCGTGAATAAGAAGGCCTACTCTGGGGCCTTAAGTCGCCGTAACTTTGGACGACTTTGGGCGATTTAAGGCGACTTAAGGCGTCTTAAGCAAAATTAGCAGAAAAAACATTGCAACTTTAAGCGATTTAAGGCGATTTAAGGCGACTTAAAGCGATTTTATTTGACTGAAGTGATGAAATCAAAGTTAGCAACAGTTTCTCCATAAACCTTAAAAATAATTACAGGATCCCTTGCAATAAACACATTATTATCTTTTGAACAGTTAGGCTATCGTAAAGTCTTGTAAACCTACTCTAGGACCTTAAGTTTCTTTAAGTCGCCTTAAGTCGCCTAAAGTCGCTTAAGTCGCCTTAAGTTGCCTTAAGTCGCTATTGGTTACGCAATGTTATAAGGGTTCCACCCTTCCTAATCTAATCATCCACCCCACTCTAATCATAGCTTGATGAACCACATTAAATCGACAGCGTTAAAGGCCAGCAATTTACATGACCGGCTCGAAAGCGACAAGAAGACAGACATGGGTCATATTAGATAGCAGAGGCGTGATAATTAAGCATTACATACACACCCCATGTTTGAGGAGTTAGATTTTGGACGCCCACAGGCCATTTATGCGATAGACTACACTTTTTATCAGTTTGTTGGCGTAATAACCCGCGCGAGACGTCGGTAGAACACGAGATATGTTTGTAAACCACAAGTCAGAGGCGAGTAATTTACAAACTTTTCAAGTCATTTTTTCCCCTCGTCACCTTTCTGTATGAAGGGCTCATCTGTTTCGGGGCCCTTGTCGCTGCACACATGGGGTCAAAATGTGGTTCAAACAGGGATCACCACCAACGTTATGGGTATTGCAAGTTTGGAAACGTCATGCTTCCCATCACAATTCAAATTAACGAATCAGAAGGCCAACTACCTGTGTGACCTTTTAAAATGATTATTCTACAGTAACACTAAATACATTTTTTTTAGAGATGAGTCATCTTGTGAACGCCCACGTCCGCATTTTTGCAAAGATGCATGTGAGTGCTTAAAAGTAAAATCAGCTTCACTGAACTATATCTTTTCTACTAGTTAGTTTTTTCCTTCCTTAGCGATCTTTTAAGTCACTTGAATAAAGGCTGATAGTTTCTAAAGAAACTGTTTGGCGCCGCGTCGGTGGGGGTAACGAAATAATTTGAATATATCAACAAAATGTAAATGCTAAATTGGCCACCGTCACGGTTATAAAAGCTGACGTTTCGAGCGCTAGCCCTTCCTGTTTATTCCATCGCTATTTTCTCCAATCCTTCATCTGTTTACGATCTGTTTATTCGGCTGGTGGCTGGCGAATGTTACTGAACGAAGATGTAACCCATTGTTTTAACCTTTAAGTTATACCCGTGCGCGTTGCCACACGTGATAGAATCATCCAAAGCTCCCCCAGTGCCAAATCCGATTCTGGAATCACAAGTATAACAATCATCTTCCCCGTTACCGAGAATACCAAGCCTTGCTCGAGCTCTGCCTGCACTTCCTGTGTTGTCCCCAGATGTGTTAAATCCTTCTTTGTTACAATTCGCCTGTAAACGACCTGGAGGGCTAACCAAGCTTTTCCACGCGTCTTTTCCAGATGTAGTTGGGCGGTATTGGCCGTCAGCGATCAATGAATACAAAGACTCGGCCGTTTGGAGAATAACAATAAATCTTGTGTCAACCTCTCCCGGGACCTTCATACCGACGCAGATTTTGGAAAATGATGTGTTCCAGTAGGTCGGTAGCTTAGTCTCTTGGCCATCAAGACCCGTCTCACCTCCTTCCAGGTTGAAGGCCACCTTGTTGGTCCAAATACTAGCATCATAATGGAAGGTTTGCTGCAGAAAGCAAGCACAAGATAGAATTAACGATCACTTGTATACGCTGCATAGCCCGATCTACTTTTTTCTATACGGCATCCTTATCTTTAATGAGCGTCTTTATCAGCAATCTCAAGTTAACATGATATTCCACATCATCGCCATACCGATCCTCACCCTAATCATCATATCACCATCATCTTACACTGATAGCGTCTAGACAAGCGATGACGTTGGAAATATTCTTCCTGTGCACAGGTGGCTTTAACAGACAATTTCAATACTAAAGAATCTTAATGTCTGCACTAATACAATGCAAGTACACGATGACATGAAAAACTTTCTTTCTACTGCTCGTATTATACTCTATGAATTTCGGTATACTCCTCTCATATAATATGATTTCCTGTACACATTTTCAAATATACAGATATATGTAGCCACATGTTAATGGTAAAGGCAGATCATGCCAAGGGGCAGCTAACCAACGTAAATTTGCCCCACTTCTACTCTGTGGCTTTGTGGCTTAGATAATGGTATCCGAGGACATGGGTTCGAATCCCGCAGATTTTGTAAGTTGTAGCTCACCAGCTAACATAATTTTTTTTGCTCCGATGTCTTACCTCTGTTCCGTTCATTTTCATAACAAGTGTCCAGCCTCCTCCTCCACAAGGTCCCATGCCGGTAGCTCTCATGATACAGTAAATGGGAATCTTCTCAGGTCCAGCAACAAGGTCATATGCTTTGTTTTCACTTTGTCTGGTGTTGTTTTAGAATAAAAGGTTACATCAATATTTTTTTTCTCATTTGTATTGTGATAAATGAAAAGGAAAAGGTAATGGAGTCACCAGAAGCAAATCCAACTCCTCCTACCACCCCCCCCCCCTTCCTCATCATTCTTCCTACATGTCCCCCAATGAAGGTAGGTTAATCATTATAATTCTCAAAAATTTATGGCAGTTTCGCTACCTGGCGAGTTCGCTACGTTAAAGACGCTACATGTTCACAACCCACAGGCCGAGTTGGCTACCTCAGCTAACCCAGTTCGCTACGTTAAAGACGCTACATGTTCACAATTCACAGGCCGAGTTGGCTACCTCAGCTAACCCAGTTCGCTGGCCTAACCGGGTTCGCAACCATAACTGAGCTCCTCACCCTACCGTGTTTACCAACGAAGCGTTTATAACTCAAAGGCCTTCGTTTCGTTTTTATCTCCTGATATTATGTCCGCGCTTAGTTTTGTTATTATGCCCGCGCTAAATTTTACGCACGCACTAGCAAGTCTCAAAAACCATTTGATACCTTTTAGTGCGATCGCATCAGTTTTAACTAAACATTAAAATATTTCATATTTTTTTCAGTACGAGCGTGAGAGGTTCGTGAAAGTTTCTTATCAGGCGCGTAGTCCTTTCGAATTTAAAACTACTTCAACGTAATAAACTCAAGTGTGCTACTCAATTTGAACAAAAATCTTATTCAGTCCCGAAGAAAAAATTCTCACCCACGGGCATGTATTCCTTTTAAGTTAAAAACTACCACAACGTAGGGAAATAAAGTTTGCAACTCAATTCTTTTCGATCGGCCTTCTAAATTTTATGCACGCAATTGAAAGTGACAATAAACATTTGATACTTTTTTAGTTCGAACACTCAATATTCAGCGCCGGAAAAAGGTTAGGCACAAACATTTCAGCGGTTTCATACGTTTCATTAGTGAACTGTCATCTATACAGTACCGGAGAAACGTCATCTAGAAGCGTCACATCGGGCAGGTATGATTGGATTGGTTCTTGATATGCAGTATTTCAGTTTCGCGAAGTTTTATTTTATCGATAATAGCGAACTCTAATCAAAAAGGTAGCGAACTGGACATTGTACGTAGGGAACATGTAGCGCACTCGAATGTAGCGAACTCGATAGGTAGCGAAACCGGCTGTTACCTTCATAAAAAACGATACAACTATACAGCTCTAAAATTTGAAAATTGCATCCTTGAATGCCTTGTAAATTGCAGCAGTGTACAAAATGTACAAACTTGACTGCTCACAGTTTTTTTTCTCTTCGCTTGGGTATGCTTTTAGTTTTAAATGTTATGATCAAAGCTTAAATCTGTCACTTACGGGTTTCTGTCGTAGATCTCCTTGCACGTGAATGCTGAAACGAATATGAAATGAAAAATGAAGCGAATGTACATGCATTTTATGCAGTGGAAGTCATCTTTAATTTAGGCTAGGAAAATACATTTGGGAAAGGATAAATACTTGTTAATGTGGTATCATTTTGCCATGACATTGCTAATCCCATGAATGGTTGTCGAGTAGGTATTAATATGTGGCAACTAAGTCAAACTATACCGGAAAAAAAAAGACCCAGAAACAAAAAAAGTAAACAAAAGTCACTAAAAGGAAAAAAAGATGAACGGTTACTTTTCTCTTCTGAATAATTGTCGTATCTATATGATAAAAGGTATGGTAAACTAGCACAGACGAGGGTTTCCTTAAGAAGTCCTCGAATGTAGCTATATCAGGCTCTGTTACCAACAGACTATGATAAAGCAAAACAGGTAAAATATAGCTCAGTAAAAACCAAATTTCACTTACAAGTGCAACTGAATGATCCATCAGTATTGTTACACAAATGATCTGCACTACAGGAGTGTGTATTTGTGGCACACTCGTCAATATCTGAGAAATGAACGTGATAATTTTTTAGTCATTGAAATGGACATATTTAGTAAGTAGCAGCTAATCAAACATCGAATGAAATTAATCGAGACCACACATATAACACATACCCTGCATATTCCCCATAAGCTCTTCATCAAAGATGACTTAGTTGTCACTGCGTCATAACTCCGCAGACGCACAACGGACGTAGGACTTAGCTTCCCACTGACTAACGAGGTAGGGAGGGGAAGGGGGGAGAGTGGGGGAATGGGATGAGTTAGGAGAGTGAATAGCCCCAGTTGTTAGAACGCTGGAGTTTAATTGTTTTTTGTTGTTTTTTTTTTTAGGTCAAATATTCGCCATACAGTTATCTATCCATTCTTCCAAACAAACGGATTTGAAGTATACTCTTTATAACAGGCACACCAAGCGAGTGGCAAACAGTCTAACCTTCACAATTCCTTCCGTCTCCGTGGAATCCTGGATTACAAATACATTCGTAAGAACCGTCGGTGTTGGAACAATCAGCATTTATGTCGCAACTGTGAGTTCCTTCAGAGCATTCATCAATATCTAAAACCAAATACTCATGGTCATTAGCTTTACTAAGCTCGATTCATGGTGAATCACCAAAATATTTACATACAATTTACCTACAAAAGGTTTACATTTCTCTACCAAGTAGAGTCAGTTTCCCAATTAGTACCTTCTCGGTAACATAAATAGTTAGAATTGTATCAAAATAAGGCATCAGAGGTGATAAGTATCTCCTTAATAGATAGGTAATTTGATTTTATCAACTGAGTTGAAAACGTAAATTGGCTAACGCAAAGAGTTTCCAAAGCTGTGCTTTGTCAGCGCGAATTATGACCGGGCCACATCAAAGGGCAATCTACGTCAATTCATTTGATAGAATATTTATCGTCTAAGATGGTTTATTGCTTGATGCGATTTTAACTCAAACCAAGTTCTCTTGTCATACCCCTTATTTGTTTACATTATAGCTAGCTTTCCTCTGAACCATTCATTAATAGTTCGCTGTAAAAAAAATGTACGAGTCTGCGTTCTTCACGATCGACGTTCGATAATTCGAATTAAAAAAAAAGTACGAGTTACTGCCTTCAAGACAAGTTGACGGGTGAAAAGCATCATCTCGAAATCAAATATTTGGATTAAGAAGTAACCTTTATTTATCTCAAACTCAGTGGCTTCTTCTGAACTTACCACTAAGACAATCCTGACCTGTAAATCCTAAGGAACACACACAGCGATAGTCTTTCTGTGTGAACCCTACTTGACAGGTCCCTCTTCTGTTGCAAGGATCATTGGCGCATGCGTCCTAAGGGAGCGTATAAGATACAGACGAGAGTATATACCGTGTACCTTTGGTTGCAGTTACCAATCAGTACAGCCGCCGATCACATTTAACACGTTTTTCGATTGATGTGTCGAAAGTTAAATCCAGTTAATAGTAGTGTATAACTTATGTATTCTTCTATTTATTGTCGTGTGTTTCTGTTTCTGTATTTTTATCTCATACTGTCATTTGTGCTTTACTGATTTAATATTTAATTTCTGTTTCCTGTATATTTATTGAATCTTTTGTTGAGCCCAATTTTATTTTAGATGTTTTAGCGTCCACACACTACCCGCCGAGACTAGCTCTGGTATTTGTGGGTAGTGCTTCATTATGCCGGCTAAGTGTCATGCATAGTTGATATTAACTATGGTGTCATGTCATGTCTGATAACAATAAAATACAAAAATACAATCAGATTTCTTGATAATTTGATTTGAAGAAGAGACCGATGTGATCGCCAGAAAAGAGTCGAACTTAGTCCTTGAACTTTGTCTTTTTCTAGCTCACAAACGTATGGGATGTTAAGTTATAAGGTGATAGTAAGGTTTCTGGAAAATCCGCCATCATCTTGTACCTGAGCTGCGCGGTAAATAGAACCAGAATAATTCACCAAATCACTTTCATGTCCTTCATGAGTAGCGTTATTCAATTCGCATATGTGGTTTTCAGCCTCACTCCCCGTCATTAAATTGTAAGACGCGCAGTTTTCTTCCAGAAAGCATCGGGCACCACAGAACTCCCTGTCCGTGACTTCAGTGGCGAGAATAAGGTGATTCATTAGACGTTTTCCATCGAAGGTTCTCACTGGAGTAAACTCCATAGCGCGACATTGCTCTACGTAAACAATAAACAATCAGAGAAGCAGAACAAAATAGATATGAATTATTGACCAAGTGCCAACATAGCTCGATATTGGCCAAGTTTTTCTTACCGTGTTTTCACCGACCGAAATGAAGTAAATTCAGTTCTTGCCTTGGAATGGCATAAAATTCTCTTGTCTCGCTTTTTGTGAGACAAAACTGCTTCCATGCCTTTAACACAGCTTTGTATTTTACAGTTTTTGTAGTACAATAACCTCACGAGAATCCTTTGTGTTTTTTTCTTTTTTTTTGCTTTGATTTTGTTTTTGCCGGCTTCTGCGACTCCATTGCTGGCGTTTTAATAAATTATGAACTTTGCAAGTTCACTTGACGAAATTTTTGTCTTGCGCTGGCTGAAAGCGAGTAATCACGATCAAGCATGACGGGCCAATCTTGCCTGCTCGGGTGGCAAATTAGAACAGAGGAATCTTTTCATCTCGCTCACGGTGGCCGCCAGTTACTTTCTTTTTTAAATCGGAAGAGGACGGATGATAAATCCTGAGCCCTCTCACGAATAAATGAATAAGCTCGGTGGTAAACTATCCACCGCAAATCAAAGGGTTTGAAGCCTATTGAGTTAAGAAGATTTTAGCTCGCCCACACTATTCACAAAATTTCTCGGACTGTAATTACTTAGACTAATTCTCATTCAAATTGAAGTTGCACAGGCTGAGTGTAATGCATCAAAAACCTTCAGTGTATCAAGATATAACATTAGCTGTGTGTAAACCGGTTGAAATCGTTCAATAAAAAAAAGGGGTTACGACCGGTTATTTACTTTTCGATGCACCAAGCATTTCTGACAACAATTTCCTATCCTCAGAAAAATAGCTTTGCCGATAGAGTACCTTATCTTCAACGTCTTCATATAATAATTTATTTCTATATCTTTCACCCAGACATACTTAATATAACTTTCTTCGCTTAGTAACCTCTAAAATTCAATTTCTATCAAAAATCTTACACTTCATTTACACTTATCTTCTCAGGGATGTTTGTAGATGTTGACCTCTGAGTAAAAAGTTCAAATTACCTTGAGAGCTGCTTGCATAGTGTATTGAAGAAATAGCAAAAACAAACCAAACACCGCGGACAAAAGCGACAGCCATGGCTGATCAAGGTTGTTCTGGCTTGGAAAGATCTCTTTCGATGCCTAACCAGTTTAGCACAGCTTGAGAGAGAAAGGTATTTAGCACATCCGAAAGTTCTATATTTATCACTTAAGTATAAAAACAATACATTCATTTCTATAATAAACCCAGTCCAAACGAATCAATCATCTCTCTTGCCGTTGATTGTTTTCATCTAAATTATTCAGACCTCATTTTCACCCCTTTCAATTGTATTCACTGATAGAGGTGAAATTTATCTACAAACGATGAATTCGAAGAGTTCTGATATGCAATGAATAGACCAAAAATAATGTTTGAGTTTAAAAGTTAGAATGTGTGTGGTGAAAAAGGAAAACTTGAATTTCATTTCAAACAGTCATTTTTGGATCACATCGAGGGGATGATGAAAATAGGCCATTTTACAGTTGTGTACTTAGTTGCCAAGCCTTTGATTCAGAGAGAGGCTAAAGATGACCTTGTTGTGATAGAGACCTGTATCTAGTTAGCATGATAACAAAGTGATTTACATTTGAAAGGCAGCAAGGTTTGTATCATAATAAGGTCATCTCTAGCCTCACTCCCATTCAAAGGCTTGGCAACCAAGCACACAACTGTAAAATGGACTATTATAAAATACGTGCAGAGATATTTTCTTTAAAGCTCAAATAAACAAATCAGAGTAAAAAAAAATGTAATGAGAGCCTCATGCATTGTTAACGCATACTTAGCCGTTGACTTCATAAGTGCGTTTTCCTTTTTGAACCATACCAATACTTTTAAAGCTTGTCAAAGCGTAAACCTAGTAAATAATTATAATATTTTGTATTTTATGTCGATAGCTTCAGTACGTTTAACAGACTTTCGGTTGATGATGATGTCATGCGAAAACCAAAGTTAATAACTATTTTATCATACATTTTAAAAACAATCTGCAAATGTTTGAGAACACTGCACAATCGGCAAACTTTCATCTCAACATCATAAATGCAATATCCGCGGAAAATATTATATTTCTCAGGTCAACTCCACACGCATTTGTTTAATGATTGAATGCTCTCAATCAATTAGACTTTTCATAGTGTATTCATAATTTAAGATATTCATTCATTCATTCATTCATTTTATTTGCCATTACCAGAAAAAAATTAACCGAATACAAAATTTGTGATACATCAAAGATAAAAAGAACTATAATAATATAACGTGTCAGCCAGTAGAATCGAAGGATACGAAGCATAAAGGCTCCTTGCCGTACGTCGAAGAAACCACTCTCTTAGCGCGGGAAGAGATGAAATACCTTCTACCCAACCTTCCAATAGTTTTCGTTTTAAATTAATTTTTTTTGTGGTTAGTTTTGACATATGTGTCTAATAGACACCCTGATATTTTAATAACTTTTATTTTCCAGAAGCGAGGGCCGTAATGTGATCATGAGTCATTATATGTGCAAATCACGCGCTAATTTTGACTTTGCCTTGGTGCACGTGAGAATCTGGGAAATTTTTCTCTTTTTTTTTTACCGTCAAAATCGAATTAGCGGGCTTCTCTACAATTTGACCATTTTTATTTTTCGCTATACATTAGATGTGAACGTAACAGGTGATAAAGTATAATGATTGATTTTTCCTTCTTTGGAAAATTATTCTTGTAACAACAAGATTCAAAGCAGTAGGTGGTAATTTGTTCATAACATTTGATTCAATACGCGATACACAGCTTCAGGGGCGGGAATCTCGTTCGCTGAAGGATATAGCGAGCTTTACATCATTATAAAGAAAATACAGCAGTGAATAAACAATAAGGCAAAGTTGAAAGAGAGGCCTTCGAGAAGAACAAGTCACGCGACAAAGTTGAGTTCACCGTTAAAATTGAATTCTCGAGCTTCTCTATGATTGGACTATTTTTTCTTCGCTCTACGTTAGATGTGAACAAAACAGGTGATAAAGTATTATGATTGATTTTTTTCCTTCGGATAATTATTTTTGAAACAACAGAGTTAAAAGTAGTAGGAGGTAATTTATTCATAACATTTGGTGGAATATGCGATATAAACCAGTCCCCAGCAAAACCGCAGTCTGTGATCGAATTTGGGAATAGCCCTTGATAAACCAACACGTTTAAACATGAATTGTAAAGCTAAATCAACTAAATACTTGCTGTTAAAAGCTGTATCAATCCTTCGATTGCCATTTACTTAATTTAACTCCGTAGCCACGATAAAAACGTTTGTGGTAGAATAATTAGCAAGGAAAAAACGCTTCAATTTAACATAAATTACGTTTTTCAGGAGTAAAGTTAATTAACTGCCTCCTTTAGGTTCGAACTAAACAAAATCTCTTCCACAGAAGTTTCATTAGGCCAAGCTGTGCCAAACGTGTCTTCAGGTAACCCTGACAGACATGTATCGTGTAGACATCAATTCTGTTTTGAACAACTGCAATCTCTTCTCAGGTATGACGACTTCTTCTAGACGATTAAATTACTGAAGAATTGTGCTTCCTAACTTAAACTTTCCAGTTTATTGTTTTACTGAAGCACCATATATAATTGACGTTACTGCGAGAGGGCGCTAAACATGATTTAAACCTCAAGAACACGCTGCAAGACAATGATATCGAAAGAAGCAAAAATTTTAAAACAACTCGACTAAAGGCCTTAAGTGATAATACAGCCTTAAAGTTATAAAGTTAATAAACTGTCTCCTTTACTTTTGAATCAAACAAAATCTCTTCCACAGAAGTTTCCTTAAGCCTCGAAGAACCATAAAAACACATACAGGAACCACTTTCCTTTCTTTCATATCTAAAACAGAAAATATATTGGAAATGGTCTCAGAACTTGTTCACGCTCTCCGGAACAGAAGAGTTTGCATAATTGTTTGCATAATTGTTTGTCATAATGGTTTGCATAATTGTATAAGGTTAACAAACACATCACAAGGATTGTTAAACAAATTCCTCTCAATAAAATTAATACACTGGAAGTAAGACTATAACAGAGATTCGCTAATTATCAGAAAAAACTAGAATGAACAGTTTCCTTTCTGTTTTTAGAAATGAAATAAACCGGAGAGATTTTTTTCTCAAAAAAGCAATCGACTTCCCTAACTTTGGCGTTCATCGTGTTCTTTGGGGTACTTTATACCAGTTACGACCTCAATATTTTGGTGTTCTTCACTTCTCATCGCGTTTTGACTCGTCACTGGTGTAGTCCAGTGTCGATTGTTCCCCAGCTGCTGTCGAACCTGAACAGCTCTGCCTAACAGTCTCGAGTAAAACAGGATCCAATGCAGGAACATCAAACATACTGTGTTTAACCACTCTTGAAAGAAAGGCAAGGCTCCCAAAACAGTTTAGCCACAAGAATTTAAGGAACCTACGCGAAATTTTCTGAACGTATTGTCTCGTACGGTGCCGTCTTGATAATTTACTAATCAGATATGTGGGAGACAATAAGATAATACGACGTGCTATCGACACTGAAGCACTCATAAGAGAAAAATATGCATGGTTAATTTGCAAGAATTAATTAAAGAAACTCGCTCGAACTTGTGGAAACAAACCGTCTTATGCCGCGACTTCCCACAGTGTAATTCACTTTTAGCTCATAACTCACCTCTGTAAAGTGTCCTCAGCTTTTCTCCATGCATTTAGAGATTCTAAATTTATTAATAAGATTTGGTACAATATGCGATATAAACCGGTCCTCAGCGAAATCGCAGTCTGTGATCGAATTTTAGAGAAATTTCTGAAAAAAAAAAGAAAAACTTAGGGAATGGTTGGTGGGTCAGTTAACATTATTTATTGAGTGTCTAGACGATTTTCTCCGAAATCTAGCTTATCTTGTTTATTTTTAGCATTGTTATGAACTTTCGCTTTCGTCACGCTCCAAGAATAAGGCGGCCAATTATATTCGAAAACGAAAGTGCTCACGAAGCTTTCGGGAGTCAGGAAAAACAAACAGAGAAATGCTTCGATCAGCTGAACAGTCTGCTTCGCAAATATTCGCGCGGTCCTGACTCGCTGGTTTACTGTACGTTGAGTTTTCAAGATTCTATCAATGTCCAAGGCTAAAGTAAAGTTCCTAAAGCGACTCGATAAAAAACTGTTGTGCCCATTGTGCCAAGATGTCTTAAAACAACCTTGGCAGACATCGTGTGGACATCAATTCTGTTTTGAATGCTTGCAGTCTCTTCTCAGGTATGAGAACTTCTTGTGGACGATTACTGTTTTACCGATTTAAAAATTTTGTATCACTTATCAGCAACATATATAGTTGATGTTACTGGCGCTAAATACAGCTTAAACCTCGGGAACGCATTACAAGACTATGATATCAAAAGCGAGCGAAAATTCGAAAACAACTCGACTAACCGCTTTAACTGATAATAAAGCCTCAATGTAGTGAGTGTTACCTAAATTCTCACATACTCTCAAACTACCTCTTTCAACAAGCGTTTCAATCCCCAATAATGCAATCGAGCCTTACAGTTTACTTCCGGCTTACCTATCCCTATTACCAGCGCTGCTTCTCCCTCATGTCCGATAGACGGCAACAAGGTTACAAGAGATTCATCGTTTCATGATAAATGCTGCGAGCGGGAAGTATTGGATCTTCAATGTTTCTGCCAATATAAAACCAGAGGATGCGACTGGCGAGGAGAGCTACGGCAATTACAGGTAGACGGCTTTCGATGACCATTAAACACTTTCCTTTCACTTTCCTATTTCGTTTGAATATTTCAATTTCGGGCAAATAGACGCGTGTGTTTAGTTGGAAGCAGACAAAAATAAATGCTGGCAGACTACAACCTTTAACAATAGAGAGAAGGACATGTTATATATACGCTTGTACACAATTGACCAAGATATATCAATATTACTCCCCATTCTTCCTTTGCTGAAAGCTTACGAATGCTTTTCGGTCTCTTATTTCCATTAGGCACACGGAGAAAGCTGTGAGTACGTCGATGTGTTGTGCAGAGAATGCAAAAATATTATAGAGAGAAGACTTCTTGAGGATCATAGAGTCAATCAATGTATCAACCGAGCAAGCAGATGTTTACACTGCGGAGCGGAAGTAATATACAGTGTTTTGAAGGTAAAGTTAAAGCATTTCATGGGGGAGCAAAGGTTTATGTCTGTTGATATTTTATGAAGGCAAACGCCGCTTACATTTTATCATATTTGTTGCATAACCAAGTTGACTTGTAGTATTTCACAAATAAACTAAATGGTGATTTGAGAAAGAATTTTTTTAAATAATAATTAGGGCAGCCTGTTCCATTAGAGCAGCAAATGCGGGGGATTTGACGCCCGATTTGCAAATGGCTGACTCAAGGCCATTTGCTTTGAGATTGTGCCCTAAACTTTGATTTGTCGCTGTACAAGCTCCATATTTTATTATTTGACGAAAGTGAAATAATCCGATTGATATATTATGACGTCGGTGATCTAAATTATGCTGATGTTACAGGTAATTTTCACGTTGATGAAATGTCATCTGTATTCTAACCTCTCTCTTAAGGATCATTTCGAAACATGTTTAAAGTTTCCGATGGATTGTGTTCTAAGCTGTGGAAAGGGAGACATTCCTCGTGATTGTATGGAAGATCATTTGACTGCCGAGTGCCCCAATAGTGAGGTTCCATGTCATTTCACGCCTCACGGGTGTAAATTCAAAGTAAGTCGCAGTGTTTTTTGCCAATATTTCTAAAGGGTGACCCGGTTTACATTGATATATCGAATGCTATCGCTCAGTTACGTAACAGATGACCCGCAGACAATGAATTTTAATATCATTGAGACACAATGCTGATTTTGATACAAGGCTGACGATTCGTTTTAATTGTTCACACTATTATCTTATAAACCTGCCTAGGGAAAGAGAGACGAACTTCAGAGACACGTGGCAACTAGTTTTAAGAGCCACTTAGAAATGTTAAACCAATCAAGTTTTGAGCATAAAGCGGGAGGCCAAGAACTGGAGGAAAAACTAGCTCGCCTGCAAAGCAAGTTGAGAGGTTTGGGGCAACTAATATGCCATCAAAATGAGCAGCTTACAGTAACAAATACCACCCTACAAAAGCAGCAGACTAAAATATCTAGTGTTGAAAGGGAGATTTTCGAACAGAAAGAGGATCTGGACAAGCTTCTTAGAGATGTTAAGTTGGTTGAAAACGCTAAAGGAGTTATTGCTTCTCTTCACATGGACGGCATTTTAGAAACTTTAAGGGAACACGAATTAAAGATAACTCAACTGAAAAGTGAGCTAAGTCGTTTGAGCAGCAAGATATCAAATTCTTATGAGCCACAAAGAGTCCACGACCTTGCCTCTGAGCATCGATTGGAGAGGGCTGAACAGCAACTTTCTTCACAAGAAACTCAACTATCTGAGCAAAGCCGATTGATTGAAAATCTTGAGACTACTTCCTATGATGGGGTTTACATTTGGAAAATAGACCACTATAATCGACGATTTCAAGAAGCTGTGTCTGAGAGGAGAACCTCGATCTACAGCTCCCCTTTCTACCTCGGTCGCTTTGGCTACAAGGTTATCTGTCCGTCTCAACCCAAAGGGAGATGGCACATGTAAAGGGACTCATATGTCACTTTTTTTCGTTGTCATGAGAGGTGAATATGATGCCATTTTACCCTGGCCCTTCGTTCAAAAGGTTCATTTCAGATTGGTGGACCAGGATGGAATTCGAGACGTGGTTGCCTCATTTCATCCCGATCCATATAGCGGAAGTACGAAGAGACCCACATCAGATATGAACACTGCGTCGGGTTGTCCCGCATTTATTTCTCAAGCAGAGGTCCGCGAGGGTGGTTATCTTCGGGGCGATACCATGTTTATTAAAGTGACGGTCGATATGAAGAATATGGCAGTTGGGCGATGAACACGAAATCAACCCCACAGACAAGTGATAGATATGCACCACGTTCATAAAAGGACGTTAAGCCAGCTTGTCGTGACTAATATTGAGAACAGAACTGAATTAAAAGATATAATAAACAAAATAGACCTGTACTTTTAGCTGAAAATGATAAAACAAACAGCTGGAATACAAGCTTTATCAAGATCTGCCTTAGTGTGAAAAACGGTGAATAAGTAAATTTTATCATGATGAACAAGACAGCTGATTCGTTACACTCATTGATGGCTGACGAAGGATATCATGACACGTCAATTGGTCGAGTTGCATGGATGTCGCTTCTTGATTCCGACGGCTCCTTGCAACTTAAATGTAATAAAGAAGGGTTTAATGCACGCATACCGTTTTCTGGTCACCCTAAGGCAAGAATTGGCATTCTTGGTAATGAACGACTCGGTGTCCCTAACCAGGGCTCGAACCCGGACCAATCGAACCCGAGTCGAGCGCACTAACTATGAGAGCACTGCGTCTGCCACTAAAACAAATAATGAACTTTCGTCAAAAAGGTATTGGCTACGAATCCCCGAGTGGTACCTTGTTGCTCTAACCCGACGCCTTACCCTTCCAACTTTCAAGTATAATTTTTTTAATGACCTATTTCAAGTTTGGATTCGGTTCGAACCGAATTTTCTTCTAAGGGACCATTCATTGTGTGCTTGGAATAAGAATCGCAGAACACTTATATCATTGTATGCATAAGTTTAGGAATGTTAGCAAAAAGTAACTGCAACACAATATTCCTCATCTGCTTTTTAACTATGAAACTTCACTCAATCACATGGAAAGTTCCAAGGATTTAAAAAATCTACGCTTAATTTTACCAAAACCCAAAATAAAAGCTCTCGCTACAATCTTATTCTAATCATGGTATCTTATGGCGAATTACTAAAACAAACGTCATTCAGCTTTGTCAATTTATGGTCATTAGGCCTGAAAAAACTATGAATAAAAAATTATGCTTTTACTGTTTTGCGCAAGTTTAGGCTGCAGAGTAAGCTTATTAAATTCTACTTAACCATGATAACTTCTACAGGCAAAATTTGGTGGCTGGTTACCAAAAGCTTGCCAGTGAAGGCAACCTACCCAAATATAGTTAGTTACTAGTCTGAGCTTTATCCCTTTTAGCCCTTCGTCCAAAGAGGGAGGGTGGGGGAGGAGGGGTTCTATTCTCAGTGGCCTAACTAGAAGTTTCGTGCAAAACATTTACCTTATCCGCCCTTGTTGTGTATAAAGGGAAAGAGACATGTTGGAAGTTAAAATGTATGCAATGGTAAGGAAATCTGTGTTTTAAGTTATTCGCAAGGATGCTATGGCCCTTGAGGATCTTAAATCCAATGGTTTTATAAAATGATGCAAAGTACTCAAAGCACAGTATACGAAAAGGTTACCTTCCTGTCATCAGAATGATTTGAAGGCCAACGGATTTGAACTCCTATATATCTTACTCATGAAGTGGTAATATGACGGTTTGTTATATAAAATTTGCAAAGCTGTAGAAATAGAAAGTAAAGGACTAAATGAAGACAAAAAATGCATTATAAAGAATTAAGAACAGCTTTTCGAAAAACTAAATTGTATAAATGTCTAGGAAGTACCTACAAGTAGCTTTACAAAAGAGAATAAAGGCTGATAGTTTCGAAAGAAACTGTTTGGGGCTGCGTCGGTGGGAGTAACGAAATAATTTGGATATATCAACAAAGTTGAAATGGTAAATTGGCCACAGTAATGATTACAAAAGCTGACGTTTCGAGCGTTAGCCCTTCGTCAGAGCGAATAGAGGAATTGTGGGTTGTGTGTACTTTTAAAGGCAGAAAATGGAGCTACGTTATTGGTGGGTGCATGGCAACGAGAAAAACATGAATAAATTAGTGGAATGAAAAGCGTTCATTGATCCCTGTGGGATTTAGACTGCCGGTTTGAAAGATGAGCTTTTGTTCAAGATTTTTACGGCTTTCCGTGCCACCTAAGTGCAAGGAAAGACCGCAGATTGCCATATGTTGCTTAGAATGATT